CAAAATTTTCGAAACCTTTGTTAAAAATTTTCAAAATTTTGATAGTTATGTAATAATTGTTGGCATAAAAGTGTAATTCAATTGAAACTGAGATTAAATGCAATTAATTGACTATAAATAATGAATGGATTAATGAATGAATTAGTAATTTAATGCCATTTATTATTACATTTCATTTAATGTTTTTAATTGAATCAAACAAATCTAAAGTATTGTAATTACTACTTTTAAAAAACTTTATTTAAATTATTTGTTTCAAACAAACTTTATATAAATGTATAAAAAATTATATTGTTAAGATTATTTAAAACAATAAATTGTTAAAATAATGATTATAAATGTTTGTGCATTATATATAAATTTTTAAATAATTAATTACAAGTTTAAACAAGTTCATTATATTGATAAATAGTACAGTATTAAATATATATATTTAACTAAAATTTATCTTTACTTAATTTATAAAATTATGACAAACATTTAGCTAAATATAATTATAGTTTAAAGTTTGACCATGCCGAATAAATGCTTAAATATTTGAAGGGCTGCTTCGGGTCTATCTTCGGGCACCATATGTCCCGCATCGCGGACTAACACAAAGCTCAGGCCATTTTCGTAGTGCTGAACAAAACCACCGATCCTTCCGTCGGGTTTTCCGTCTTCTCTCCAAATTCTGGTAATCATTCAAAAACAATAACAAATTAATACTTTATGCGCACAAATATTATTAAACACACAGTATGTATAGACAACTAACCGATAGTTTTCAAGTTTTTTGCTTTGTGTGGCGGCGGCGACCCCATCAACGAAGCGTTGATCCGATATAAAGTCACACATGATATCGAGGTCTCCGTTATATACAACAAAACGACCGATTTTGTACTTATGGATCAAATCAAAGGCAATCTCCTCTTGAGATGTAAAGGCATGCGTCTTGTCGTAAGCACCACTACAGGCGGACCAACGCACCCCACCTTCCCTTACGTGTATAGCTTTTTGAACGGTCAGGTCATTGAAGTACGGCGTGTGACCATTCACTGGACACTTGGGTTTAGCGTTTGGCTTCAATCCATCAGTGGTTGAGAATTTGATTCCCATATTCTCGAAGTGTTGCATATGGTATGTATTGAACACGGATTGCTTAAACAGGTCGGGAACGCAATCGTCGTATATATTGTATGGATTAGGAGTTGTCACTACAACCATAGGAATGGATTCGCATTTCCTGTTTATTTAAATAATATATTTTTGTTAATAAAATGTTTTAGTTATGAATGGATGATAGCTTACGTTTTATTGGGAGCTTTACTGAAGTCACACTCGTGTTGAGTGCCGGCCGTACACTCACAACAGGCCTCTATCTTTTTCGCGTACCAATCGGTGGTTACTAATCCGTGTAATAAAACAAAATCCAGCGAAGATTGAATATCTTTTAATCCATTAAGTAATGAGTTCCCAACGGCTATACCTATTATGTAATAAAATTACAATATTTTAAATAATTTGATGATTATATTAAATTTAGTAAACAATTACCCTTCAAATTGATGGTTGAGTTTCGTTTGAATATTTCGTGCGCTAACATTGGTATATAAACGCCTCCATAACTCTCGCCCGTTATGTAAAACGGATTTTTCTTTAAATGTGGATACTTTTCAAAGAAGTTTTCGAGGGCTAAGTAGTTGTCATAAGCGGTGGTCCCGTCGTTGTTATAGGGTTTGTCAGTCATCTCGTCGTAACTAAATCCCGTGGAAACGGGAGACTCCATGTATATCATATTCGCCACTTTGTTAGCCGCGAAGTCATGGAGTGATAGTGTCTTTCCGTCTTCATTGGCCCGAAAGGGTCCGTTTTCGGTAAACATACCGTATAGAGAGCTACATCCGGGCCCTCCCGTCAGCCATAGCACTACCGGTGCGGTTTGGGGGTCGGTTTCGCTCTCAACAAACCAATAGAAATGATGTCTTCCTTTCGATGCATTCAAATAACCGGAATATTGTTTGAATTTTATGGCATCCGAGAGACCCGGCAGTGATGTTATCTCGTCCTCATTGACTGCCAAAGCAATCATTGCATTTAAAAGTATTGCTAAGAAAGTTAAAACATTCATTTTGGAAATGTTTGTTATGAATGGTAAAATTTAGAATTATGCATCTAGTTTTATATTAATTCATTATCATAATTCTCTAATTGTTATCAATGACTTTCCCTGAAAATAACATATTTTGAAAAATATATTAAAAAGTGTGAAATATTGTAATACAAAGCACTTTTAATGTGTTATCATTGATACCTTATCAATGTGCTTGATTCAAAAGGGTTGTAATATCCAATTCATCATAAGTATTTTGACTTATACTTTGCAAGTATTTCGCAAGTTTTGGTAAAAATACTTTTGGTGAACTAGACGTATACTTTACTCTCGAAGTTGAAGTTTTACCCTGACTTTGAGAGTAAGTATTTTTTGATGAACGCTACTTTACTTTACTTATCGATTTTAGTGTTGCTGCTAATACAGATTGTTATTGAAAAATAATGTAAATAGATGCTCTTAGATGACTCTGATTACTATTTTGCATATTAAAGTTAAAGTTAAGCATTCTTTTAATGAACGCTAGCGGATTAATTTTTTCAAGATAATCCAAAGTCAAGTATAAGAAAATACTTATGATGAATTGGATATAAGTTTTTTCTTATGATTGTGCAAGTATATGCCTACCTTATGTGACGATATAATTGCAATACTGTACCTTGGCTAATCTAAAATTCGTAATCTTGTTAAGCTGATTATGGTAAATTAATAACATGGCCACAATAATTGTAATATAACAGGTAAATCTGTTTTCAAAAGTTATGTGTATTATTAAAAATATGAAAATATACATAATTGTAATAAATAATTATATATAAATTAGTTAATTGTATAGACAATTATTTGTAATAATACACTATAAGTGTAAACATGGACTGACTTTATATCTAAAAATATATTATAACCAAATGTACTAGTTTGAAATTGTTAAATTTAATAAATTCAGTTATAAAACGATTACTCAGATGGCGGTTATAATATTATTAATACTGTATTATTTGATAAAACTTTGGAAGTTTTGCAAACTTTTAAAAGGTTTTACGATTGGATTATTGCAATCAATTGTCTTTTAAAACAAGTATTTCTAAAACAATATTTATTATATATTATTGTATATATTGTAATAAATTTGTTTATATTAAAGTATTTATATTTAGTTTGCTTTTGGATATTAT